ATACCAAAACCAGGCAAAGACACCACAATAAAAGAAAATTACAGAACAATATCCCTGATGAACATAGATGCAAAAATACTCAACAAAATATTAGCAAACAATTAAAAAATACATCAAAAGATCATCCATCATGATCAAGTGGGATTTGTTCCATGGATTCAAGGATGGTACAATACTCAAAAATCTATCAACATCACCCACTACATCAACAAAAAGAAGGCCAAAAATCACATGATCTTCACCATAGATGCTGAATAAGGATTTGACAAAATTCAACATCCATTCATGATAAAAATTCTCAATAAAATGGGTACATAGGGCAAGTAACTCAACATTATAAAGGCCATATATGACAAACCCACAGCCAATACCACACTTAACAGCAAAAAGATGAAAGCTTTTCTTCTAAGATTGGTAACAAGACAAGGATGCCCACTCTCCCCACTTTTATTCAACATAGTACTAGAAGTCCTAGCCATGGCAATCAGACAACACAAAGAAATAAAAAGCATTCATATCAGTAAGGAACAAGTTAAACTGTCACTGTTTGCAGATGACATGATATTGTACATAAAAAATCCTTAAAAATCCACTTCAAAACACTAGAACTAATAACTTAATTCATCAAAGTTACAGGATACAAAATTAATACACAGAAATCTCTTACATTCCTACATACTAATGATGAACTAGCAGAAGGAAAAATCAGGAAAACAATTCCATTTACAATTGCATCTTAAAGAATAAAATACCTAAGAGGTGAAAGACCTAGACCCTGAAAACTACAAGATACTTTGGAGAAATTAAAGAAGACACCAATAAATGGAAATACATCCCATGCTCATGGGTAGGAAGAATTAATATTGTCAAAATAGCCATCCTGAAGATTCAGTACAATCCCTATCAAAATACTGACAGCATTCTTCAATGAACTAGAACAAATAGTTCTAAAATTCATATGGAAAGACAAAAGACCAGAAATAGCCAAAGCAATCCTGAGAAAGAAGAATAAAGTGGGAGGCATTATTCTCACCAACTTCAAGTTCTTCTACAAAGCCACAGTAATCAAGACAATTTGGTAATGGAACAAGAACAGACCCATAGATCAATGGAATAGAACAGAGAGTCCAGATATAAACCTACAGATACATGACCAATTAATATACGATAAAGGAGCCATGGATATACAATGGAGAAATGACAGCCTCTTCAACAGCTGGTGTTGGAAACTGGACAGCTACATGTAAGAGAATGAAACTGGATCATTGTTCAACCCCATAGACAAAAGTAAACTCAAAATGGATAAAAGACCTGAATATAAGTCATGAAACCATAAAACTCTTAGAAGAAAACATAGGCAAAAATCTTTTGAATATAAACATGAGCAACTTTTTCCTGAACACATATCCTCAGGCAAGGGAAACAAAATAAAAAATGAACAAATGGGACTACATCAAACTAAAAAGCTTCTGTACAGCAAAGGACACCATCAGTAGAACAAAAAGGCATCCTACAGTATGGGAGAGTTTAATCATAAATTACATATCTGATAAGGGGTTAACATCCAAAACATAAAAGAGCTTACACGCCTCAACTCCCAAAAAGCAAATAATCCGATTAAAAAATGGGCAGAGGATATGAACAGACTCTTCTCCAAAGAAAAAATTCAAATGGCCAACAGGCACATGGAAAGATGCTTCACATTGCTAAACATCGGGGAAATGCAAATTAAAACCACAATGAACGAACACCTCACACCAGTTAGTAAGGCCAATATTCAAAAATTAAGCAACAGCAAATGTTGGTGAGGATGCGGAGAAAGGGGAAGTCTCCTACACTGTTGGTGGGAATGTAAATTAGTTCAGCCATTTTGGAAAGCAATATGGAGGTTCCTTTAAAAACTAAAAATAGAAATACCATTTGATCCAGGAATTCTGCTCCTAGGAATTTACCTGAAGAAAAAAAGATCACAGATTGAAATCACAGATGCACCACTATGTTTATGCAGCACTATTTACAATAGCCAAGACATGGAAGCAACCTAAGTGTCCATCAGTAGATGAATGGATAAAGAAGATGTAGTACATACATGCAATGGAATATTACTCAGCCATAAGAAAACAAATCCTACCATTTGCAACATAGATGGAGCTAGAGGGTATTATTGATGCTGGGGTTCTTGTTCAGAGCAGAAGAATCAACTTCACAAACAGTCAAGGTAGGAGAGCAAGGCAGAGGCTTTTATTTAGACAGAAAGCAAGAGGACAGAGTCCTGGCTCAGGCCAGGAGGGGACAAGACAGCCCCAGGGTGGTGCATTGTCTAGGGTTTTATAGGCAGTTGAGAGACAAAGGGCTAGGGATGTACACCTGCTAAGTGGTCTCAAATACTTTTGAAGAAGAAACACTAAGTTTCTTATTAGTCTTCCCGGTTATTTACAAGAATTTTACTGCTCTGATTTCCTCCTAGGATAGCAGCTTCCTGGTCTGGGAGGGTATCAATCAAGACTGCCTGCTTTGCTCCCAAGGTGGTCTGAGTTATTGTCTGTTTGTTAAGAAACTTTTTTAAAGTAACTGGGTTTTAAGATGGAATCCTTCCTGTCTTTACTATGTTGTTTTGTGCTTGCTTGCTACATTGCCTAGGTTGCAGCAAATCATTTGTTTAGGGCCGGAGGAAGAAAAGCAGCACTTGGGTAAAGTCAGAAAAATAAGTTGGACCACCCTCAGTAGGCCAATGCAAATCTCACAATAGATTATCTTGCTTTTGTTTTTTTCCAGAGGCCCTCACCCTACTCTGTCTAAGCCCATGGTCTCTGTCTCATTATTGTCAGTGGAATAAGCCAGGTGGAGAAAGACAAGTACCAAATGATATCACTCATCTGTGGAGTATAAGAACAAAGAAAAAACTGAAGGAACAAAACGCAGCAGACTCACAGAACCCAAAAATGGACTAACAGTTACCAAAGGGAAAGGGACTGAGGAGAAAGGGTGGAAAGGGAGGGATAAGGGGGAAAAGGGGGCATTACGATTAGCACACATAATGTAGCGGGGGGCACAGGGAAGGCAGTATAACACAGAGAAGACAAGTAGTGACTCTATAGCATCTTATTACACTGATGGACAGTGACTGTAATGAGGTATGTGGTAGGGACTTGATAATAGCGGGGGGATGTAGTAAGCACAATGTTGCTCATGTAAAACCTTCATAAGATTGTACATCAATGATACCTTAATTTAAAAAAAATTTGAAGTCAACAACAAAAAGATGACCAAAAATATTCTGTAACTTTGGAAATTCACAGTTCAAACAAGATTCAAGAGTCAAACTATAAGCCATAAAAGAAATTAAAATATTTAGGACTAAATGGTATTGCAAATGCAACATAATACTCATGTTACATAGCTACCATCATAATGACAGGGAAATGTATTTTTCAAAAGACTAAAATTAGTCTCCTAATCAATCAAACTAAGAAAAAGAATACCCAAATAAACCCAAAGAAAGCAGAGGAAATAATAAGAACAAAAAGAAGTAATAGAAAATTTATGTATGAGAGACAAAAAAAGCTGAAAGCTGGTCCATGGGGCGCACTAATAAATAATAAATAAACCTCTGCCAACAGTCTTTGGGTCCTGGAGGGCAGGAGGGAGAGAAGACACAAATGGTAATGTTAGGAATAAGAAGTTAAAAGGATTGTGAACAGCTTTATACCAATAATCGAAACTTAGATGAAATGGGAAAAGAAATTGGAAAAAAAACTTCATGATTGTGAGAATAAATAGAAATTTATTCTCACAAGAAGGAATCTCACAAGAAAACATCAAGCTTGTGAGGTTGCACTAGCAAGTTATATCACATTGCTAAGCAATAGAAATAGTCATCTTTATATAAATTCATCCAGAGAATAGAAGGGAGACCACTGCCCAACAAGTGTTTTGAGACTGGCATAAACCCAATAGTAAAAACTGTCAAGATGTGAGTGTGAAACGCCAAACTTTCTCATAAACAAAATCCTTTTTGAAAATTAGCAAATGAAAGCTAGCAATAAAATACATCAGGAGCAAATATGTATGTCACGTGTATGCACAGAAGCAAGATGAGAAAACCAATTCATTTAGATGAAAGAAGAGCAATCTGATTATCTCCGTAGCTGGAGATCTGGCATCCGTCCCCCTACCACCAACCCCCAATACCGGCCAGTGGAGGCTCCCAGGGGATAAAAGCATGCCCTGGCTTCCAGCAGGCTGTCCTGCAGTGTTAAATGGAAGATGACGTGCAGAGGCAGGAGAGCTCATCACAACATTAGTGTGCACTTGGTCACTGCTCCTTTACAGGAATAAAAACAAAACCCAAAGGAAGGAGGGGTGTGCTTTGTGCTTGTTTGCTTTGGTGGAATTCTGTTATGGCAACGAAAGGAAAAAGTCATTTACAGAAAACTGGGCTCATTGAGGAGACCGGCCCTGGCCCACAGCAGTAAGAGGAGCGACGGTTGTCATTGTTGTGGGAGGTGGAAGCAACAAGAAAGCAGGAGGATCCCACGACTGTACAATTCCACGACTGGGAAGGACACTGCGGTGTCCTCGAGTCAAAGGACTTCATCCCATCCCCTGGCAGTGGAGCAGGGTGGGGTAAGATAAGACCTGGGAAGGCAGAGGCTGCCTGGGCAGTCTCTGCTGAGACTCCCAGCAGAGATGCCCAAGGAGAAGGTGAGTCCCTTAGAGGTTCTTGTCCTCAGTTTCCAAGAGAGTAAGCTTCCCTGGGTCTTGTGTAAACCAGGAGCCTCCCTGAACCCTGTACTGACTTTTCCACCAGCTCCCAGGGTAAGGGAGCTGGGAGTCAGAGTAAACTGAGTTAAAGGGAAAAAAAGCCAAGGGACATTTTTGTACACCCGGTTTGGAGTCTAGGCTTTTCACCCACTGCATGTGCACAGGATATCTGGGAAGAAACAGGAGACAGGGACACACTGAGGCCCCAGTTGCAGAAGCAGGCAGCAAAACTCTACCTCTCCTCCAGGTCCAGCCACTGCTTCAAGTAGCTTTGGGCATCACTGCTGGCTTCTCCCTTCTGGGCATCCACAGCTGGGTCCTGCCTGGCCCTTGGGGACTCCTTTAGGTCCTTGCACAGGTGGAGGGTGCCACTGGTCATGCTGTCCAGAAAGCTGAGGATCTGGAGGCAGCTCTGTATCTTGGGTGGGAGCAGGCTGGCGGAGGAAAAGGCCTCACTCAGCCAATCTGCAAATGGCCTGGCCTTTGTGTCCTCCCAGGCCTGCAGGGGGGTTCCCTCTTCCTCCAGGGCCCCAAAACAGCCCAGCAAGCACAGGTCCTCGGCCAGCTTCTCGAAGAGTCCATTCCTCTTAAAGAAGTCACCATTCACAGGGTCCAGGTGCAATGCTGCAGACAGGGCAGAGAGGGTGTGCAGGACCAGGTTCAGGGTCTGGCTTGGGGACACGGCTTGCCACGTCTGCAGCAGAGGCTCCTGGAGGGCCCCCTCCAGGTCAGAGAGCAGGGACAGCAACCCATTGAACCCGCTGGACACTCGGAAAGCAGCACGTCCTTTGGGGGTTTCCAAGATGCGGAGAAGAGACTGAAACACCAACAAGATAAAATTGAGTAACATTCAGGAGGCATATCCTTGAGCTCCCATGCATCCCTGCCAAAGCATGCCGTGGGCTCTTCCCTGCTCAGGTCCACTGGAACAGCAAGCTACCTGAAGGGCAGTTCTAAAACAGTGGTAGGTCAATATTACCCCTCTTAATTTCAGTTTTCAGTTGCCCCTCTGTGCCTTCTTTCAAATGGCTTCTCTTAAAGTCTATGCTAATATATAGGGTTGATTTACAGTTCTGGGTGTTGGCTTAAATGCATCTCCCTCCAGAAAGCGTTCTCTGACCCCCAGCTTATACTCACTCAGGCTGAGTGCTCACAGCCACCTCTAATGCCTCAGACAAAACTCTCCTCACACTATATTGAAGTTAGTTGAAAATTGTCTCAGCTCTGGATTAGAGTGAAGCTCCATGACAGCAGGCTTACTCAGTGCTGTGGAACACAGCATGCACTTAATCAATATTCACTGAATGAGTGGAGTGAACCATCTCTTACATTGCAAAGAAGACTCACAGTGAAATTTATATAAAGCAGTTTATTATTATTTATCTTCCCCTCTGTGCAAGCATGAGTACCTCTATTAAATGAGGGAATCTACTTAAAATCTGGTGTGAAAATATGTAGGAGTCAATGTAGAGAGGTAGAGAAGAGAAACGTTTAATGGAAGGAAACACATGAGCACAGACCGTGTGTCAAGTTCAGGCTATCCATAACATAGGCGTTTGAATCTACCTTTTCCGGATCGCTGAGTTTTACTGGACAAACTTTTATTTCTTTCTGAAATCAAACTTTTATTGAGCACTTACCATGTGCCATTCTTTCAGCACAGTGCAAGTACACCCTATATAGTATATATACTGCACTTACTTTGTAGAAACACATGTATTTAATGTTTTGGGTGAAAGGAAGGGAGGAAAGACTGCATTTTAAGAAGTTTCATTCTGTGCAAAAGCTTCACCCCTAAAAGTGAACTAACATATGGATGATTTTAGATGCATTAAAATAACCTTAGCCATTGGTATTTACTTATTTATTATTCTCAAAAAAATTGCACGGGACTAAAATAAGATCCAAGCATCATATGTGTGTTTCTCAGAGAGAGACCAGTGCTTATGGTTTCATTAGTAAGCCCTGAAGGGGAGGTCTGACTTATTGTATTCTTTTGGATATTTAATATCTTAGTGACACAGGAAAAGGGATTGTCTGGGCAGGCCCAGTTTAGAGTTAGTTCCAGGATGTCTTAAGACAAAGTTCAAAGAGAAAATAAAATGGACTCCCAATTGGTGGAGGCAGAGACAGATGTGCCTTAAATGCATGGTTTAGGATGACCATCTATGGCATGATACACGAAAATTGATGGACAAAGAGAAAACTGGAAAGTCAGAAAAAAAAAGGAGGGGAGGGACTAAATTGTAAAACTCACATAAAGTCAAATAGAAACTTAGTAAAGTTACAATACAGGTAATTATTAAATATGAAGGTATGAATTTTAAGGGGGGAGAAAGGTAATTTTCTAGCTCTATCCCTAAAATGTTGGTAATCTAAACCTAACATCAATATTTATCTGACCCAATATAATGTATGTCCCTAACACCCAAATTTACTGTCTAATGTACTCTGCCTCAGGAAACCTGAGCTGCGTGGCGGGTGGTCAATCCCATGTTTGGGCTTGGAGAACACAGGGTGAGCTGGGACTCAGTAAATGGCCACAGGCCAGGACCCTTTCAAAGATGAAGAGAAGGCCAAGGAGGTGCTTACAGAGCCCCCTCTGCCCCATCTACGACATTTCAAGAAATAAGAAAACAAATTTATGGTAACTAGGAGAATCTATGAAAGGCCAAAGTCCACAATTACTATCAAAATGGACAGATAATAATATAGAGTAAAGTAGAAACATTCATCCTTACCAATATAGGTCAATTGATCTTTTCCCAGTTACAGAAAAAGAAAATGAATGATTTATGGCAGCTAAATCAATGATTCCCACAATAGCTCAGGGGAACCACTACAGGGAAATTGAATTGTCGCTGTGTCTTTGAGAGCAACTCAGCAGCAGGGCCACCACTAACAGGGCATCAGATCAGAGATGTGGGATAGATTTCAGGGAAATGGGCTTTCCAGACTGCCAGAAAGATAGAAGCAAAAATGAAATACTGAGCAATAACAACTGCATTCTCCTCCTTGGTGAGGATATAGCCCAGCTAATTCTGAACTGGGCTCAAAACCCAGGGAAGTTTGACATTTGTAGTCTAGTCCTTTAAAAAAAGGTTCTCCAGAGTGGTGGTGCTCAGGGATTGTGGAAGCTCATGGTTTAGCAGCACTGAGCCTTCTAGACTGGATAAGGCCTTTCTCTGTGTGGACAGTGTCACCGCCGCTGCCTGCCCCTTCCTCCTCCCCTGGGACTCTGGGGCCAGGAGAGGTTCCAGGCAAATATGTTATGTCTGTGCCTGCCTTGTGTGAGCAACTCAGTCCTGACAGATTATTATTTCATTGACTGAGTTGTAAATGCACTGTTACCTTGAAGTATATGTAGTGGTGGTATCTCTTCCTGCCAACTGATAGTCCACACTAAAGGCTGAACATCAGGTGGGATACAGCATGTACACATTGTCTGAACCTGACCTTGTCTAGCTGACTCGTGCCATGAAAATTAAATAAATCACCTAAACTTTGGGACATTTTAAGCTCCAGGATTGTTAAACTGTATAAATTTAGATGAATGCTTTCAGTGGCTCCTAAAACCACTAGGAAGTTAAGGCAAGTGGAATGAATGAAACGCTTCTGTTCATCACATGACATGTGACAAAACAAATAGTAAAAAGGGAGAATGATTACAGGCAATCTTGTGAGCCCTAGATGACCACTAAAACCCCCTTCTTCCCTCAAGAAACCATCTTCCAATTGTCCACTTAACATCAGATACTGTTCTAAAGGACTCCATCATTCTAAGAATGCTGAGAGCAGACAGTTTAAAAAGAGACCAAACTAACAACAGTCCTTATGATCCGGGTCTCCCAGAGGGTCTGCCCCTGTAATTCCTAGATGGCTACTTTGTTGGAGGGGGCAGGAGGAAGGAATGGCTGTCCTTAACTGTTGCTTTGTTTGATTTATTAAATTCGAAGTCATTATCTAAAATGGGGGTAATCTCATTAGAATTTAGTCTGCTCTATTATTTCTTGGGATGGGGTTAATTTCATATTTGCAGAGTCATAAAGTAAAGAGTCCAAAATCCAATTACAAAAGCTTAATTTCATAGCAACTAAAGAGAAACATTTCTATCATAAAGGAAAATAAATACTGCGCTACTTCGGCAAACGATTTGTCAGGAACTGGGGGCCTAAGAGGAGGGTCTCCATTACTGTCATTCAACTTTGCATGATAATGCATCACCTCGGCCTCACAGTCTGCGGAAGGGAGTAAATTTAATCAGCTGAAGTCAAAGCAATCAGGCTAGGGTTGACACATTTCAAGAGAGGTCAGCGTTAAGCACATTTTCTCCTCCTTAACTCAGTTACCATGTCATCGCCTCTGAGTTAGTATTCCTCCACCTTGAATCTATAAAATGGATGTCTGCTGCAAAGCACTAACTATGTTAGGACTAACAGGATTTATTTCACATTCTATTATTTGTTATTCCTCATAATTTTCCATGTGTCATGCTGGAAGACTGGTGAGGTAATGTGATTAAGTTCAGAGTTGAACAGCTAAATGTATATTAGCAAATCAATCTGAATTTGTGCATAACGCGATCATGCTCCCACTGGCCAGGGAAGGGAAATTCATTTGCTTACATTATTCTTTAACTCACTTATCATTTGCCAGAATTAGGTGGTGAAGTCACGTGGGTTTCTGTATAGATATGGAGGCACTGCTGGATTTGGGAAACAACTGCCCTAAGTTGGGTGCTCCTGAAGGAATTTTCTCCTCCAGAGCAGCTGGCTGATTCCGCCTTGGGGAAGGGAAGCAAGGTGATGCCATGATGTGAATGCACTTCAGAGCCTTTACTGGGGGACAGGAGGCATGGCCTCTGAGGCCGCCCATCCCTTCACTTCCCCCTCATCCTACACCTGACTCACTTTGCAGGCACAGTGCTTTAGGCAAAGTCTGCTCTCAACTTCTAAAATAGGAGATCCATTCAGAAAGAGTTAAGTTTACATCAGAAACTTACATCAGAGTTAAGTTTCTAAAGTTCTAAGGAGCTCCCAAGATGACTCAGGCCACATGTGGATCCCATATCAGAGTTCAGCAAACACTGCTAGTTGCTCACATGACTCAGTGGCTGGAGAGTCTGGAACAGGCCCCAGGGCCACATTCCTCCCCACCACCCACTGGAGCAGCAGTGTATTAACAGCCCTGGTCCTGGCAGAGCCACAGCAGCTCCACGCACTGTCTCGAGGGCCTAGCGGCAACTTGGCAGCCAGAAGAAAGACAGCACATTGTACACAGAGTATGACTTTGTTAAATAAGCTTACACAATGTTAATCCTTAACGTGCTCCCTTGACAGTGTGATTCTGAAATGATATTGAATCTGTAAAATATCATAAAGGCTTTACATTGCTAATTCTAGAAATTCAGTCCTATTACCCAAGGGCTGACACTCCACTAAGCTGCCTCTGGGCTACAGAGCAACTCTCTGCTCTCCAGTGGACACAGAAGCCCTTGTCCTCTCCAAGCAAAGTACCCAAACTGTCCTCTTTGTGGATCTGTTTGACTTGCGACTGAAAGTCAGAAAAAAATGGGGATTTCAATCATTCATCCAAATACCTCAAGAATCCTGACTGCCTTGGCCATGCCTTCCTTGGCCTTCATCAGAATACGGCTCATGTGAATCCCGCTGAACTCACACACAGGAGAAAAAACTCAACAAGAACATGGTGAAGAGGAAAGATCACTAGGTAAAGTCACTAGTCTTTAATCAAACTCAGCTTTATCATTTAGTTTCAGACACTTTCTGGACCTGTCTCTGCTGGCACATTAAGACTGGATCGCATGAAGCTGAGGTCCTTCCTGGCTGTGAATTGCTGTGAATTCTCGATCTCTCTCTGTCTCTCCTCTCTCCTTCTCATGAGCCCCTCCATCCCGGCACCTTACATAACATGGGACTCTGGTGTCTTTCAAAAGACATTTGACTTTTCTTCTTTGTATCTTTTAATTCGCCTTCACTGATATTTTGGCCCTACAAACAAAATCACTGCTTTGGTTCTTGTCATCTGTGACACATACAATGATTATGACCATAATGTCACTTTTGGATGGGCTTCCCATGATAGCTTAGCTGTGACAAGCCCTGCAGGCTTGGGCCACGTGATGACAGGAACACAGCCACATGGGTGTCAGAGAGTAGCTTTGTAGAGAAATAAAGTAGGTAAAAGAAACAGAAAAACATACTCTAAATGTTACAGTGGTCTTGCACAGAGATAGTCATGGCCAAGTAAGTTTGGTGGTGTAATTTGGGAAGTCATAACAACTTCAAATTTTAAAAATTCACCAATGGTCAACGGTGGCCTGGTAATGAAGCACAAGTGTGTGAGAGGTCCCCAAGTCAGACCCATGGGATATTTGTTTTTGCATCTGCTCTGTTCTTACACAGCACATGACAAAAAGAAAGGGGATTTTTCAAAAAAGACATAAGCCCTTTTAGGAGACAAAAGGAATGGAAAAGCAGGAACAGCAGCAAATTTGTGAAAGCTATAAAGCAGAAGGAATGGCGGTGCTGATATTTATTCTATCTTTAACTATTTTGAGATCATTTGATGACTGTTAACAGTGATACAACAAAAGCACATACTCCTCTTTGTTACCAAAAGGTGACACCCCAGGTTTACTTCTCCCTTTGTGCCATCTGCTCCCATGCCTTGACTGCCTTTTATGTCCTTTTCCCAGATCAAACATTCTCCCCTCTGTGAGCCCTCTCCTACATCTCTGTTCCCATGGCAGCCTGCTCTCGATGTCTACCAGGGCATTTCCACTCTGCACTGTAATTATTGCTTACTTATTATTAGCCCTAGTCTATGAGCTACCAGATGGCCAGAGTTGAATCCCTTTCACCTTTGTATCCCAGGTACTCTCCATCAGGCTTGGTGATTGGTAGATGCTGACTAAATGCTGGTCAAGCAAACGAGGCAGCTGTTTGGCCACCACTGATTCGGGCTCCACTTGTAGAGTTTACAGTGTTGCTAGGAAGTAGCCGCTTAGTGAGGACTACATTTCCTGCCACCGTTGCATCCACCTAAGTCCTGCTGAAGTTCTGCCCCAGGAGTTAGCATGTGCCCGTTCTTGGGCTGAACAAGAGCACCTTGTGCTATTCTCCATGCTTTCTCTTCCTTTGCTGGCTGGAGTAGATGCCCAGGTGACAGCTGTCCCTGACTGACACCCCCCACCATCACTGATTGGACTGTATCTAAGAAAGAAACTTCTGATGTGTCAGGCTACTGAAGTCATGGGATTTATTTGTTAGAGCAGCTAGTACTACCCTACCTGTATCATACAGTGACCAACCGAACAAATGCATGCATGGGCAAATGTCGATCACCTGCGACATGTCCATGGCAAAGCCCATCACAAAAGAGGACTTGACATCACCTTCAGGAGATCTAGTTTCAGCTGCAGCTCCCCTTGAGTGGACGAGCACAGAGCACCCACGATGATGCTCATGTACTCCTCAGTGTTGATGACCGAGAGCTGCTCCAAGATACTGAGTGAGGCTCCCCGGTACCACTCATCATCCAGAAAGATCTTGATGAAGGGTACCATGCCGTGGTCTTTCAGGACAACTGTAAACCAGACAGCACAGGGTTAGAGCAACGGGGCCTTGGCATCTGATTATCAATGACAAGGAAAGCTTTTTCTTACAACTTACAAGTTTCTTTTGCTGTATTTGCATTGTCTCTTCTGCCCTTTAAAAACTTTTTTTTTTTCAAAACCCATACCCACTGCAAAATTGGGAAGAGAAGAAGAGAAACTTTGGAGCTGATAGTGAAAAAGAAAAACTTTCTTTTGATTTCTTCTCCAACGAGAATTATTTAGGGAGAAAAATTTTTCCTCTTTTTTAGAAACCCAAATAATATTAACATTAACTAGATACACCTCTGCCTTTTATTTCCACTTAATATCCTAATCCAGGACCAATGGCAATTCTCTCTCTTCTCTCTGCCAAAATTCTTACTGAAAGGAAACCAGAATTGAAGTGAAGAATATATTTGATTCCTAGGTATTTTTTTAGAGAGGGGGTATTAAAGAAACATGGCTCATGGTATGCTTCTGTTTAAAAGTAATTCTAAAAATTTCTTCCCCAGAAATATTTAGAGTAATCACATGTAGAATAAGAACTAGGAAGCAACTGAATCATTCAAATGGCATGATGTGGATTTGAGTTGGTCAGCTCCATAAGACAGGATTTCTCGTATTACAGGCCAGGTACTCCCTACCTGGAAATCACTATGGAGGCCTGTTTGAAAGTAGATTCCTGAGCTTTACCTTGACCTGCTACTAATTAAGTCTCCAAGAGTAAGCCTAGGAATATGAATTTTAACCAGCACCTCAGGGAAATCTTTTATAGTCTAACATTAGAGAATCTTTGCCATATGAAATAATCATTCATATTTGGTATAGTTGATCTATGAGGGCCTCAGATAAAAATGCCCCAAATTACCAAACCCACTGATGTTATTGTGTTGATGCATCTGCTTCATAGTATGATATATATACATATATATTTTATGCATATTTTTAAGACATAGAAGCTGCATGATCTTAAGAAGCTAAAACAGATTTTGGATGGATGGAGCTACTAAGTCCATTATGGACTGGAAGCACATCAAATTAAGTCTCTTAGAAATGTCTCACTTTCTTTGCATTTCACAATTTTAAAAAATCACATATAGTTGGTACAGTGGGATATTAATGGATTTTACTTGAAAGGGTGAGGGGAGGGCACTCCGTGGTCTCATAAATTTAGGATATCTCTTGACTTCCCACCTTATTTAGCAACTTTAAATGTAAAACATGTCAGTGGAGGTATCTACCATACACTCAACATCAGCCAGAAACAGCCACAGCAGCTTTAGTGTTGGTCACGCCTTGGATATAGCCTTTGAACACTGACAAATCACTGGAAATTCCTGATGTTTTACGGAGCAGTGGCAGGTGCATGTGGCCCCATTCTTACCCGCATTCCGAACAGAGCCCTTCAGAAGCGTGGCCACCACTCTCAGCATCACAGAAGTTAGTTCTCTTTCTGGGTCCCGAAAGCTAAGTGTGGGCTCTGTGTTTCCTGCCATGTTTAAAAAGTGATAAAAGACATTTTTTAAGTATACTGGTTATGACCCCAAATCTCTGATTCCATCAGTTTTCTGTCTTCTTAAGGAAATGGGGATGAATGCTTCTTCTATAAGGGAGTGTGCATTCTAACTCATAAGATATAAATACACAGCCCCTTACAGCAGAGGATCTCCAACCTGAGCACATCAAAATCCCCTGGAGGGCTTATTTGTTAAAATCCAAATGCTGGGCCCCTTCCTCAATGTCTGATTTAAGAGGTCTCGGGTGAGGTCCTATAACTGCATTTCTAAGAGGTTCCTAGGTGATTCTGGTGGGGCTGGTCTGAGGATCATTCTTGGAGAACCACTGCCCTACATATGCCCCAAGCCCTGCCCCAAACTCTCCTTTGGACACTTCTATGGTTTGTTGTTCATGCCTGGAAGGGGGGATTATTAGCTCATGCTTGAGGTATGGAGATGCTTGGAAAGATTCTGGAGTAGACAAGCATCCCCATTAGATTTATAAGGGTGACCCACACCTGTGTGTTCACTGCTGAATCCCCAGTGTTGGAAGGGTGCCTGACATAAGAAGGAAGCTCAATACATATTTGAGGAATGAATGAATGAATGAATGAATGAATGAATGAACAAATAAATAAAGGTAGTTTATTGATCAGGAGTATTTAAGAAATATTTAACAATAGAAAGCACAAAGTAAGACTGGATACATCAGCTCACAAAATGTTCAAATTCTCCCGGAAATGGTCATAAGTCTTGGAATTAGATTTAAAAGCAAAGTTAATGTCAGGCTGCTGGAAAAAAACATACAACTAAGATAACAGATAACACAGAAGCATTAAACAGAGTGTGTGCAAAGGGCAATAGAAAGAAGCACAGAAAAAAGACTCTCTAAGACCTGGGCCAGAAGCCCAGATATGCAAAGATGGGGGCTCCTAATCCTTAGTCCTGATCTGATTTGCAAACACCCCACAGGGATACACGGGCCTCCAAAAGGTGTGTCTATGGCAGTCTTCCATGGAGTAGTACAGAACCTGTGAGAATATGGTGACTAACATTTCTTGAGGGCCTGTAATGCTCTAGGCATAGCCATGGGTCCTTTTTGGTATCTTCTCATTTAATTCTCACAACATTTTATGACACAGATATTATTCCACCCATTTAACAGAGGAGGAAACAAGCTCATGAGTTAAGTAACTTGCTCAGGATCACTCAGCTCATAACACTGCCAGGATTCCAGCCCAGGCTGTCTGGCTCCAATGCCCACCCTCTCCTGGTCAGCTTCTTCCTCTCAGGCAGGCCTAGGAAGCAGACAGACTGATGACTTTAGCTTGAGTCAACACTGAATTCCAAAAGCAGCCAGTGGCTAAAGAGTCCACCAGCAGTGCAGTAGGAAAAGAGGCAAAAAGGTGAGGACAGATAAGTGGTGGGTTCCTATGTCCGGGCATCCGTTCTCCAGACTGAAATCCCAGAGAAGCAGGCATGGACAGATAGAGGAACTGGCAAAGTTTTCACCCTGACTCCTCCTTGAACATGGGTGGAGGCAGAGCTTATGGACAACCTCGTGGAGTGGCCCTAGCAGGGAATGACCGTGATGTGTGGTGAGTCAGTGAGGGAGCCTAGGCCAGCACCCCTGAGTGCACTCCTGTCTGGACAGAGAGACCCTAAGTCCCATGGGGGGAACAGAGGCTGCTGAGCTTGAGAGCCCAAAGTTAGAGTAAAGGGGTAAAGTGATATTGCCAAGGAGCCCTGGGTATCTGACCCAGCAGGGCACACAAAAGTGTGGCCAAGACTCAGAGAGGCAAGCCTGGCATGATCCCTGCTACGAGTGGGAAACCAACAGGCCCGACAACCCCAAATGAGCAAAGGGGTCATATGCCAGCTGGCCTCAGACAGGTTCTCCATCCAGGACCCACCAGAGCCCCAGGCCCTCTGAGCCCCCTGTCCCCTTGCATTACCAAGGACCTATCATTCCCCCTGCTGTCTTCTCATCTGCCTACTCAGACAGTATCTAGTATAGGAGATAGCTGAAAGCTGAGAATTCATCAGGCCTGAGTTAGCCTCATCAGTCTGTTTAAAGTTACACCCATCCCTCTGACCTCTTCATGGGGAAGATCAGGTAACTTATAGAAAATCACACAGCTGTCTGCCCTGTGAAGCCATGTGCCCCAGGGGTAACTTCTCTGACCCTCACAGCACTGGGTGACCTAGGCATACTTACGTTCTCCATTATGTTGATAGGTGGTAGGTGAAGTGGGCTAATACTGACCTCCCATTCCCTGTCCTGTTTCACCCTTCATCCCCACTCCCCACCCTACCGATGCTGCTGAGAGGCACCTGACTTCCTCAGGATCTTGGCCTGCTTCCGCAGCTGGGCCAGCAGCAGGCCCAGGAGGCCCGAGTCCCTGAAGATATCAGTGAAGAGCAGGTCCCTGCCAGCTATCCTTAGGACACTCTGCAAGGCCAGAAGGGTGCAAGGTGGCTCAGGGCTCTCCTTGATCAGGTGCTGAACCTTCTTCAGGATCTCATGGGGCACATAATGCAGCTCAAATACCAGAAACTCCAGCAGCTGGAAAAAGTGCTTCTGCACTGGGGCAGGTTTCAGGGGCACCATCTCCACAAACTGCGAAATGGGCTGCAGGGTCCACTCCAGCAGGAAGAAGTTGCGGGCATTCCAAGTCCAAATGGTCCTGATGGCTGACAGGACTTCCATGCAGAGGACTGAGTTGCTGGCTTTGTGGAAAACATTTTGCAGGACTTGGAAGGCCTGAAGATTCTTAACGGTCTCCCCTAAAGATAAAAAAAGGAGTAATCCTGCAAGTCATTTCTCCTGCCCTTGCCTAGAAATACATGCTTGTATAACCATTAGAATATACCATGTGAAGTTTCTATATTCTACCCCCTATGAATAAATGTCTGTCAGAGGTCCCAAAAAGCCAGGTGTCCAGGTATAAGTACGGCTGGAACTGCATTGTCAAGATGTGGTGGCTAATTAAGCACTTGAATTATGGTCACTCTGAGTTGATACGTTCCATGAGTGTAAAAATATACACAGGATTTCCAAGATGGAGCACAAAGAAAAGAATACAAAAATGCCATTGACAATTTTTTTTATTGACCACATGCTGAGAATGTGGATATTGAGATATTATTTTGGTTATTGGGTTAAATAAACTATCTGAAGAAAAAATAACTTGTTCCTTCGTATTTTGTAAATATGTCTACTAAAACATTTAAGATTATGTGATGTGGCTCTCATTATATTTCCATAGGACAGCACTGGTTGGAGATTTGTTTTCAATAATTTATAATCAAAGGATGTTAAAGATTACTAAGTAGAGCCAGCTTCATTTCTAGACAAACTGTTAAATAAAGAAACCTTCTGAACCCTCCCCCTCTTTTCTCTCCAGCTCAAACGTTAAGCCACTTTCTTTCTTGTCCAGGTGGTACCTCACCAGAGAACTCCCTGCCTCTATCCTCCGTGCCTCAGACACTGGAGATGTTTCTGAAATTCCTCTCTGATCCAGACACTTCCCTGTGTGTCTGCTGGGGTTCATCCAAGGGCTCTTCTTAAATTAACCCTACAGCTCTGCAGCCTCTGCCCTCTGGTCTGCCCAGGTGCCTGTGCCCATTTCCTCAGACTCACCCAGATGTTTTTGGTTACCATTTCCTTTCCCAGGCTGTACTTTTTGCCTTCCCCTTCCTTTCTACCTGGACAACCATGCTTAGCTTTAAAAATTCAGTTGAATGGGGCCCTTTTGCAGGGTTTCCTAACCAATCCAGACAGAGATGACCCACCTGCCAGGCATCACCACTGTGCCAAATGCATTTATCAGCCAGTCATTGAGCAGATTATGGTTCAATGTATGTGTGACAGTCTCTACAGAGAATATTTAGGGAGCCAACACTTGGCCCATTCACAGTGGCACCCAGCATGGGGCTGAGTGGCTGCTCCACAGAAAGCATTGGTACATATTTGAGAGTCTTTGCCTTCATTAAGTGAACATTTCCTCTAAATCTCACCCAAGGCATCTTTTCTAAAGAGATTTTTAAATCCACAGGTAAGCTCCCCAAAGCCATGATAGAATCGGACCTTCCTGTGTCACTGACAGATGCCAAGCATATGTTTCTTCATGAAGAAAGAAAGACCTGCACAGTGCCTGTCAGGGCATGGCACCAGTGGCTGCCTGGCACTCAGAGACATAAGGTGACCCACCAGAAGCCTCCTGATGGAACTTGAAGCCTTCCATTTGAGGGTAAGTGACACTGTCAAACACCTTCAGCTCGGACCGCCCACAGGTCGTCAACCACACCACCAGCCCGAGGAGCTCCTCCAGGTGGGGGTCCACTTGGCTCTGGGTCAGCCCATCATACCTGTGGGGACAGACAAGGGCAGCTGCCTGGGCATCCTGGAAGGAGCAGCCACCAGGAGTTTGCTCATGGCACTCCTCACAGGGATGCAGAGCCAACAGAAATCATGGGGCTGGGAAGATCCCAAAGATCTCCACGGGTTAAGCACCAAAAGGCAAGCAGAGTGCCCTGGATAAAAGTCACTGTTTGCAAACGTCAGCCTTAGATCTAAAGACTACAGATCAGAATACAGAGAAACCTGTGAAGAGTCATGGCATTTGCTTACAGGAAGGCTGCTTTCTATGGTTGCACCTCCCAAAAGACATGTTCATGTTTTGGGCACCAGCAGAGCAGAGCACTGCTAAAATGATTGATTTAATATTTCAAAAGAGCAACAAAACATCATGGGAAATCATCCGACGGAAATCATTAGCCTTCCTATGCTTCTTTGAAGGATGAGGACCTGTTCTGTTTCTTGCTACTGTGTGTAGGGGGGCTGCCCTGCTCTTCTTGAGGAGGAGGGTCCCCCAAGTCATAGTCTAGCTGCCATGCCGAGAGTAAAAATGCTTGCAGTGTGGCTTCAGGTAAGGCAGAAAGGGGAACCTGTGAACTAAGATGGGCCCTTCCTGACATCCCCAGAACAGGCTCATTTCCCCTTCCTGACTCCTACAAGAAGTCTGGAGAAAATCAACCACCCATTTAACCAAAGAAATGTTCAGGAACGGCTCTGACCCAGAACTCCATCAGACATGGTTCAGACTAACGTAAAACGTGGCATCCCCACAGGGGCATTTATTCTAGTGTCCATTTGGAGGAAAGACCTTAAGGTATTGTCATTTAATCACAACCTTTTGGAACTTTAGTCCCTCATCCAAGTCAGCCCCTCTAGACCAGAGCCTGACTATGTAGTGAAATCTGAAGCACAGAGGTAAGCTTCACCCCAAAGAAAATGTCTTTCATTTCTTTGGGGCAAACCTCACAGAGCAAACCTCAAGGGAATATATGTGACCTTGCCCTTAAGCAGTTTCCCCGAGATCAGTGGGAGTCTGAAAAATCAAGCTTTGATTTCCATCTGGTGGCTTGTCCAGTCGCTGGACTCAGCCTGAAAATGACAAGCAAGTCAGAGTGGAGGAAACTAGTCCCAACCCAGCTGAACGGCATCTTCATCTGGATTTCCCATGGGTCAAGGATTTGAGAGATAGTGGTTTATTTGGGAATTGATCCCAAAAATACTAGTAGGAGAGAGAGTCTGTGAGACACAGAGGAGCGAAGCCAGTATGGGAGCATTAGCAGGCAAGTGCCTCACTGGGCAACTGGAGTTGAACCCTCCTGGGGACTCTGGGAGGCAGAGTGGAGCTATCCCACCCAGCGGGCAACTTTGCTGGGGCTTTATCATCAGCACCTTCCAGTCACTGGTGAGGGCTGCTCCTGGGGGTTGTTGATTCCTTGGTACTTTCAGTCCCCAAGTATACAGGCAGAGGTCATTCCAATAGTCCCTGACAGCCCTCCAGGGCAGAGATGCATGTTCGGGCGTGTGGCTATCAGGCCAGCAGGCATACACTTGGTACATACCACCAAACAGACTTGGTGAAACTATTATTACAATCACCCACTAGTTCCTGAAGAAGTGGCTCCCAAATTCAGGTGCATGTTGAATTACTTCTGCAATATATCTCTATGGCCATGTTCCATGGAGATTTGTGTTTCAGAAGACATTCTGAGAAGGCTCAGTATCTCTTTCTCCAAAGCACCCCAGATGATTCTGAGAACCTAGGCTTTAGCAGTTTCTCCCCCACCAATCACAGCCACTTACCGAAGTAACACTTTGAGGAGCAGAGGATAGCCTTCTCCATTCTCAAACTCCATGAACAGAGCCGAGGAGACTGGATAGGAGCCCTTCACAAAGCCCAAGACAAGGCTCACTGCCTCGCTCACCTCGGGAGCAGGGAGAGTGTCTGCAAGCCTGTAGAGGTTCTGGAGGGAGATCTTGATGCAATCCATGCCTGCAGGGAGAGAACACACCCCTGTTGAGTTTGGAGACAATAGCTTTGGACATGCTATGGGCATTCCCTCCCCAGCCCTCTTTACATGACTGAATGACAAGACATGAATGACAAGTAACCCAAAAACATTTTTCTGCTGGTTCTTGGATCAAAAAGAAGGCTCTCCCATAAGAAGTGCCAGCCTGGAGCTGCACTCTGCAGAACCAGATGGAGAGCAGGTGAAATAGGAAGAAGAAGGAAGCCTCTTACCACCCTTGGCCCTATACCCAGCACGCAGGAGGTCCAGGTCCATTAGGTGATGGTGTATAAGACATAAGACCTGAGGGTTGCAGAAGATGTTCTTAAGGAAGCAACAGTGGATATGAGCAGAAATTAACTTAATGAGAAGTGCAGGGAAGGATACACAACTGTGTGAGAAGATGAGGGGCAAAAAGATGGTGTGTTTCAGCAAGACAGGGTATGGAGCCTGGAAGTGTGGATCACACGGGAGGGGAGGAAGTCAGGGCCAGCTTGTGTGGAGTCTGGCCACAGAACTTGGTGGTTAACCCAGAGCAGGGAAAAGCCAGAGGAAGACTTGAGTCTGAAAAGTGATGACATTAGATTTGCATTTTGAAGCATCACTGTTTTTAGGGCTCTTTCACTAGGAGAAACCTCTTCTGAGTGCCAGGAAAGTCACACCAGTGGATCAGGAAAATTACCTACAAGAAGTTGAGATAATGTAAGCTTAGTCCCTCAGCAGAGAGGCCTCAAACACTCCCCAAAGTCTTCATGCTGGACAGGAAAGCCCCAAGAGTTGTGGGTTTAGCAGGTAACCACCAGGCCAGCCCTTACTCCCCAACTTTCTCCTCAGCCCCTATATCCACGGAAACTACCCACTCCCCTAAAGGAGTGCTGGACACAATGCTCCAGTAGGCAGGCTCCACACCAAGGTGGAATTTTTCTTCCCAGTTTTGTTTTGGGCAGCTGAGAATATTGACACAGTGAGAGACCTCTACCACCAATTCATGCAGCCTTTTCTCAGGAGTCTCAGACTCTAGCCAGTTGGGGAAGCCTGGGCTGCTGAGCACCTGGGGCCCAGCTCAGTCCTGGATCATTACTACAGGGCCCTGGCCTCACTGAGAACTTTGAATCCCTCAGCTGGGGCTGAGATTTCATCCTGGGCTCAATTACAGTAAAAGAATGGGTTTGTTGAACTTCCTTATCTGTCACCAACTGATGCCCTCTGTTACAGAAGGCTCCAGAAAGATCACAAAACAAGTATTCATGGACAAGCAGGTTACACTGGCAGGCTCAGATTCCCACCTCTCCCCAAAAGACCCCATACCTTGAGGTTAGCCCAAGGGGTGGACTGTTGTGCTCACAAAAAGTACTTCAGCTCATGGAGCTGAGAAAATGTTCCATGGTGGGTGAGGAGGTCAGCCCAAGGGAACTTCTGTCAAAATCTTCCCCTTGGAGTTAGCCTTGCAGGGCTTCCCTCCCTGTGCTGAGATCAGCTGGCAGCTGACAGGAGGCCAATACATTTTCCTAAAATTTTCTGAGCCCCAAAGGTGTCTGTGCTTCTTAGAATTATTCAAGCCCTTGGGAGATAGACAAAACTAAGGGAGGCCACAGGACTGCTCATGAAATTGACTCCCTCAGCATCTTGCCTTTGACTACACCCAGGTAATGGTGCTGTTATGCACCCAATGGGCATGCACTGCGTTCCAGGCACCATCTAGGCACTTCAGATATGTCAGCTCATTGAAGCATCACTGCAATGCAATAAGACCAGTGGGGTTACTATCCCCATTTTGCAGATGAAAGAACAGAGGCACCCACACAAGTTAAGTGCCCAATGTCACTCAGTGAGAACAGAGCTGGAGTCCACACCCTGGCTGTCTGGTTCCAGACTCTGTGGCCTTTACCCCTACACATGCTGCCCAGAAAAGTACCTAAGGCACTGGGATCTGACGTCTCCAGGCTTAAAATCCAATTTTCTCCTTCACTAGCTGGGGAGCCCTGGCAAATTCTTCCACTACTCTGAATCTTCATTTCCCCATTTCCCCTATTGCAAAAAGACATTAAAATCTACCTCAAAGAAACAGATGAGATAACATACAAATGGGCCCTGCATGTGTCTGTTTGACAGTATTGTGTGCAGTAAATGAATTCCCCTTTCCCTCTTTCCAATGGAGCATCAAAATGCACAATAAAAGCCCATGCACAAATGGAATTAAGCAACATAGAGTCAGTCATCTGCTAGGCAGCTGAAAACCCCATTCATCCATCTCTTTCTTGGTCCCAGAAACCTATGCTGATGCTGCAAAGTATCCCAGGGTCTCATTGGGGAAAGGGGGCCCCCAGCCCACCCCTGGTCTTATAAAGCCACTGATGGTAGTCAGAGAGGATAAGACAGATGCGGAGGTACAAGAGGAAATAGCATTTGAAGCTTAGTGGCCTGAGATGGCCTCTGAGAAGAGGGAAGGAGGTGGCATCACAGAGTGGCTAAAGGCCTGACTCTGAGTGGACTCGGGGGCCAGATTCCTAGGGTTCCAATCCCAGCCCCCACCCACTCCCCCACGAACCTGTACTCATGTTTACTCACCATACTTGAGTTTGTATAGAATCAGGTGGCAATGCAACACACCCCTGGGATGGATGAGAGGGACCACGGAGACCATGGCACCAGATGCATGCAGAACAAGTACTTAGAAAACGTTTGCAACAGTTCTACAAGGCAGGTCAGAATGCTTATTCTCAGGGGTCGGGGTAAGACACAGGAGTCTCTTGCTGCCAGGGAGAGCAAGCAGGACCTGGGCCCGCCACCCTGGAGAAGAAGGAGCTGGTGGGATCAAGGGAAGGAGGATGAGCCGAACTTTCAGGTAGAGAGCAGAGGAACACTGACACAGGGACACGATGAGTCAGAGAGAGAAGAAACCCATTTCCAAGTGCACAGGATTCACGGCATTTGCAGAGTGTGGGGGCAGAGGGCTAAGTTGGCTCCCAGAAGAACAGAGGAGCTTTAGAAATAGGCCCAGAAAGATGAGAGCAGCTCCTAGAGGTGATAAGTCTTAGCCCAAGCATCCAAGCCCTTCCTCTTGCTCACCTGCACAAACATCCTCTGAACTTGAACGTCACTCTCAAAAAGCTCATGCTTTTCCAAAGGAAAGACAAAGAAGAGGTAGAGGCACTGCAGGAGCAGCGCTGGAAGCCCGGACTCAGCAACTCTGCCCAACGTCTCCTGCAGGGGAAAAGCAGACATGACCACAGGCCACAGAGCCTGCAGAGCACAGCCCCAGCTCCAGCCCCAGGCCCAGACCAAGCTCCAGAACCAGCCCCAGCTCCAGACCCAGACCCTGAACCAGCTCCAGTCCCAGCCACAGCTCCAGCCCCAGGCCCAGATCTAGCCCTACACCCAGACTCAGACCCAGACCCAGACCCAGATAAGACATTAAAATCTACCTCAAAGAAACAGATGAGATAACATACAAATGGGCCCTGCATGTGTCTGTTTGACAGTATTGTGTGCAGTAAATGAATTCCCCTTTCCCTCTTTCCAATGGAGCATCAAAATGCACAATAAAAGCCCATGCACAAATGGAATTAAGCAACATAGAGTCAGTCATCTGCTAGGCAGCTGAAAACCCCATTCATCCATCTCTTTCTTGGTCCCAGAAACCTATGCTGATGCTGCAAAGTATCCCAGGGTCTCATTGGGGAAAGGGGGCCCCCAGCCCACCCCTGGTCTTCTGGGGCCATACCCTGCAGGTATTGGACAATGCTGAGGTTCTGAGCCCTGGAGATTGCCCTCAGCACACAGAAGGTGGGCTCCTTCCAAAAGCAGCAGTTGTGCTCCCGGAGACAGGTCGTGGCGATCACTAGAGACTGCAGCTCAGTGCCCGAGAGAACTCCCTCCAGCCCCGGAGACTCGCTGCAAATATTCAGCAATATCTAGAACAACACAAAGCCAGGAAGACTCTGGTTAGGAAAGCTCCTTCCTGTGACACGTTTCTTCCCAACTTCTCCAGAGCATTCATGGGCACATGTCAGCATGAAGGATGTTATCATGTGCGGTCACCATCTGTCCCATAGCAGCACGGTCAACAGTGCCACCTAGGAAAGGGTGACAGGGCTTGGGGCTTAAGTCTGAATTCATAATCCTATATGAACAGTTGTCATCCTTTCCAAATCAAAATAACAAAGAAATGTTTGATGAGAGAGAAGTTTTTCTATAGAAATGCAGAAAAATGCCATCAAATATTAAAGTATAAAATTAACTGGACCTAGTGTTATTTAAAAAGAGAGATGTGTTCCCGAATCCTGGGTTGGTACTCACTCTACTTCTCTGTAAGATCTGAGCATTATCCTATAACCTCCTAACTGGGATCCTTGTTCCAGACAATCCAGTCTCCCTGTGGCTACTACCTTCCCAGCCACTCGGGATAATTCATGGCTCACAGAGTTCAGAGTGCACCAGCCCCGCCTCCTCTCACGTTATCACGTGCATCTCTCCTTTGACTCTCAGTGGCAGATACAGAAAGGTCCTTCCCTCTGAACCCACTAGCAGAAAGGTGGTAGAGTCCAAGCTAGACAGCCCTGAACTGGGCTACAGGTCCCATTTCCAAGCTTCCTCTGCAGGTGGAAAGTGAGGCGAGGTGACCCTTGGTTCATGTCCATTTCTGCTCCCCTTGACTCTCCTCCCCTTCACAGCTCCCTCCCAGTATTCAACAACCTGGCTCAATGCCATTTCCCCAAAACAGCCTCCTGTCATGCCCTACTATAAATCAGGTCCCCTTGTCCTTGCTTCCTATGACTTCTCCTTCATAGTGCTTAAAAAATTAGGCACTGCTCATTTATTCATGTGATTATTTCCCTGGTTTAGCTTCCCCAGCTCCCAGTCACCTCCGCAAGAGAGGGGGCTGTGCTTGCTGCAGGAACCATCAGTCTGGCGTAGAGCCACACATGGAGGATCTCAGTGTATTTTCGTGAAGTGATATAAGGAAAACCCTGGGGAACACAAACACAGTCTATCACTGTGGCTCACATTCTGCCCATACCTGAGGAGGACTATGAAGATAAGGGTCACACTCATTCCTGGCAGGGCACAAAAAAGCCTAAATTTCCAACAAATGAGGCTTAGGGAATAGCCCACCACAAGTGGAATCCACCAGAACTCGTGAGATGCCTTCTGATAATAATGATTCTGACTCAAATATTAGTCCAAGATGAATATTAAATACAAATGCATATTTCAATGGATAACTGCATTTGGAAATTCCCAAATGGTCCTACATACTGGCTATGTGTGAAATGCTGCCTGAGGCACTGGACACACAAAGATGAATAAGACACACAGTTCTCTTTCCCCACCCCTACCAAGGTCTCCTCCAGAGAGGCACGGGGCGTTTTCTGGAGAAGGCAGCATCCGAGAAACTGAGAAAGCAGAAACTGGCAAGATGGAGGCAGAAGAAGGAGCTGAGAAGTCATGTTAAAGCCACTGATGGTAGTCAGAGAGGATAAGACAGATGCGGAGGTACAAGAGGAAATAGCATTTGAAGCTTAGTGGCCTGAGATGGCCTCTGAGAAGAGGGAAGGAGGTGGCATCACAGAGTGGCTAAAGGCCTGACTCTGAGTGGACTCGGGGGCCAGATTCCTAGGGTTCCAATCCCAGCCCCCACCCACTCCCCCACGAACCTGTACTCATGTTTACTCACCATACTTGAGTTTGTATAGAATCAGGTGACAATGCAACACACCCCTGGGATGGATGAGAGGGACCACGGAGACCATGGCACCAGATGCATGCAGAACAAGTACTTAGAAAACGTTTGCAACAGTTCTACAAGGCAGGTCAGAATGCTTATTCTCAGGGGTCGGGGTAAGACACAGGAGTCTCTTGCTGCCAGGGAGAGCAAGCAGGACCTGGGCCCGCCACCCTGGAGAAGAAGGAGCTGGTGGGATCAAGGGAAGGAGGATGAGCCGAACTTTCAGGTAGAGAGCAGAGGAACACTGACACAGGGACACGATGAGTCAGAGAGAGAAGAAACCCATTTCCAAGTGCACAGGATTCACGGCATTTGCAGAGTGTGGGGGCAGAGGGCTAAGTTGGCTCCCAGAAGAACAGAGGAAATAGGCCCAGAAAGATGAGAGCAGCTCCTAGAGGTGATAAGTCTTAGCCGAAGCATCCAAGCCCTTCCTCTTGCTCACCTGCACAAACATCCTCTGAACTTGAACGTCACTCTCAAAAAGCTCATGCTTTTCCAGAGGAAAGACAAAGAAGAGGTAGAGGCACTGCAGGAGCAGCGCTGGAAGCCCGGACTCAGCAACTCTGCCCAACGTCTCCTGCAGGGGAAAAGCAGACATGACCACAGGCCACAGAGCCTGCAGAGCACAGCCCCAGCTCCAGCCCCAGGCCCAGACCAAGCTCCAGAACCAGCCCCAGCTCCAGACCCAGACCCTGAACCAGCTCCAGTCCCAGCCACAGCTCCAGCCCCAGGCCCAGATCTAGCCCTACACCCAGACTCAGACCCAGACCCAGACCCAGATCCAGAACCATCCCCAGACCCAGCCCTAGACATAGACCCATCCCCAGGCCCAGACCAAGACCAGCATGGTCGGCCATGTAGAGGGAACATGGGCGAATCCCTCCCTCTCTCGCGGCAACACATTCACAAGGAAGAATGGAAACAATCACCGGACTCACCCAGGTGGCTGTGAAGATTAAGTTTATATAAAGGGTCTACTGTGTGCTCAGTAAACATTACATCCAAAATAAGACAGATGATAAGAAGGAGGGAAAGGAGGAAGGGAGGGAGGGAGCCAGGGAAAGAGGGACTGGTACAAAGCAGAAAACAAGGGTTTTCCTGATTTTGGTTTCTGCCTCCTGATTAGGAAACTAGAAACTCAGTCATGAGGGATGGTCGATAACAAGTGAACAAAACTAATTAAGGACCTGACTGGGCCCTTTCCGTCCTCCCATACAGATCGAAGCCATCACCAAGACCAAAATGACCCCATAGGTGAAAACCAATAACCAGGGGTGCCAGACAAAGGGGAGAAGATAGGAAGTGGGCAGGGAGGGGCCAGCCTGAGTGCAGAGCCCCCCAGGGCCCTACTTCCCTGGCTCTGCCTGGGTTCCTGCCAGATGCCCTTGGTGTGTGGGCAACCCGATGTGTGTGCACCTACAAGAGCATGTGTGGCATTCATCTAAAGTATGCTGTCCACCCAGTTTGACCACTCTAACAGATATGATGGCTTAACTAGAAAAAAGAGAAAGGAAGAATGTACAGTCGGGGCCAGAACCAGGAATATAAGGCAGGCCGCTGGTTCTACCCTTCCCCCTAGAAGCTTCCATTGTAGGCTAACATCTGCCCCTGCTTTGACACCTGGCTCTGCTGTGACATCCCCTCCAGGCAGCACTCTTGTCCTCCATGCTGCATTGGCCCCACTGAAAGCTAGAGGCCTGCTTTGAGGGCAGGCTGCTCACAGTGGAAAACAAGGCCTTTTTTTACTATAAACAAGAATTTTTTACTACTCAGCCTGAAACAATCCTTCCTCAGAGGCAGAAGGCTCTATGCCTGAGGGTGGTCCAGGCAGTTTACTTGGAAAAGTCCTGTGGTCCCCACTGGAGTTTTCAACTGCAGGCTGTGCTTCTCTCCCTGTCCATGCACAGTCTCCAAATGCCTGTCTGAAGTTGGTGTTCACCAGTAGCCTGAGGGCAGCTGCCACCCAGATCTGGCTCCCTGGTGCCATACCTGGTGCTGAGTGCCACACCTGGCAGGCAGCACTGTGATTGCTAGACAAGTGAGCATCTGGGCCTGCCCTGCACAGGGCCTCTGGACATTTCTACTGATGGCCAGAGCTGCCAGGGACTGCTTCTGCCTGAGAGGACACCGGCCATCAGCAAACCACTCAGGAGGGGAAGCACCGGGTCCCCAGCTTCTTGGTGGGAGGACACAAGTGCAACCAGAATGGGACACTAGTGGGAAGGGAAGAAAGGGGAGCCAGCCCCTTTGAGCATCATCTCTGAGCAGGATGGGACAGGCACCTAGGAGAGACCCCTTCAGTCTGAGTTTATGGGCTCTGGAGCCAGATAGATTGCAATGTAAGATGGGTGAGCCTGATTTCTCAGCACTGATGTGGTGCCACCATGATCTGACTCACAGGGTTTGGGGAGGTTGACTGACACAATGCACAGGATGCAACCTGCCTGCCCTGACACACAGCAGGTAGTCCATACACATCAGTCACTGTTAACCCCTCAGTAACCCTAGAACCATGGCATTATCTCCAACTCTAAAATTAGTAATATAAGAGTCACAAAACTGCCCAGGGTTACATAGCTGATCACCTGGAAAGGCAACATTCAAATATGAATTTGACTATGGAAATCATGTTCTATATCAGAAAGGAAGTAGAGGAGGAGAAATAATTAGTCAGGTTCATGGGAAGAATACACTCTTGAGAAATGCCACTGCCCTGTGCTGGGACTTCCTGCTGTGCATGGATGAGGAGCGCCCTGCCCTAGGGCCCATGGGGCCTGGAACTTACTGAGTCTGTCTCCGTGAGCACATACACTGACTTCAGGAGCAGGTAACCATCCTGATCCTCATACCCCTTCCACTGCATCAGCTGTCCAGCTGCCATTCTCGCTTGCTCTGGCAACGGCACATGAAGAGGAGAAAGTGTCACCAGCAGGGCAATGCCGTGACCTGCCCACCCAGCTGCCCTTTCACTCGGCTCCTCTCCCCATGAGATGTGCCTAGTGTCTTGAGGGGACTTCTGCCTCCTGCCCTCGCCACAGCACCCCCTGAATCTATACCAACCATTCAACTTAATCTCCTTGGAGGATGACCTTTATTGTGTCACCATTCCTGTCAATAACTATCAATGGCTCCCTGTTGCCAAATAAGAACAATCTCCTCAGCAGCTGAACTTCCCACAATTGAAAGTCTTCACCCCACTTCCCTTATCACACAGCCCCTTTGATGGAAGGGCTTCCTGCAGGCTGCCCCATGCCCAAGCTAGTCCTTCTCCCTGGAATCCCCTCACACCCTCAGCCCCATAGCCACCGTGAAATTCTGCCCAGCCCACAGGGCTGCGAGCAACTTGAGCAGAAGAGTACAAGTCAGAAGACCTTGCAGCAGAAAACAAGCCTCTGTATCTTTTCTGGATCAAGCTATTCATTGAACACACAGGTGCACCTTTTATCTCAGCACTTCCTCCCAGATACCTAGTCGTGTGTGTGTGTGTGTGTGTGTGTGTGTGTGTGTGTGTGTGTGTGTTGTGTGTGTGTGTGTTTGGAGGTGGATGTGTGTGTGTTTGGAGGTGGATGTGTATGTGTATAGGTGTGGGTCTGTGATTGTGTATATGCCTATGTGTGTCCATTTCTGTGTGTGTGTGTGTGTGTGTGTGCGTGTGTGTGTCTGTCTATCTGTCCCTCCTAAGAGAAGCAGTTTCCCCAAGGCCCCATTCCCTCCTCTGCTAGCTTTTCCCTTCATTCCCAAGGTGCTCAGTGGCAGAACCAGCTTATCATGCTTTTTAGAAGATACTATTCTAACTCCACTAGAAAGTAGAGGGGGACTTGGCAGGAGGCCTGGTAGGAGTCTGCAGAGCTGCTTTGCTCTCCATAAGGTGTTCTCCAGGACTTCTTTTCTCTTACCTGCAGGCTTTCCCACAAGTGCCTTCTGTATTTCTTGGGCAAAGTGGTTGGAAACATCTTCTGCCAGCGTCTGGAGACTGGGAAAGCAGATGATCCCCATGGAGTGTTCCCAGGCCTGAAGTCAACAAACAGGACTCTCAGAGATGTCAAAGCCACAAAGCAAGGCGTGAGAATCACCTTGCCTCTCTCCCTGCCGGCCCAAACCAAAGGCTCAGTGGGCTTTCCCAGGTTCATCCCAAAAGCCACCAAATCACCTGCCCTCACAACTTCCACCTGATCCCTACCCTAGTGCTTGTGAATTCACCAATTTCCCACTGACCTCCAAACCCACATCCAGCTGGCCCTGAGCTTCTCACCCTGAACCTGTGCTCCTGAACCATCAACCACACAGAACTGAATCCACTGCCTTCCCCACAAACTTGCTGCATCTCATCTAGTGTATGGTCCTACCAAGTACCCAGCTGCCCTTGTGGGAAATTCCTAGAGTGTTTTCCGAGCTCCTCCTTCTCCTCACCTCCCTTACCCTATCAATTGCTATGTCTCACTAACTCTCCTCTTACATGCTTCTCAGTCTTGGACAGATATCTTAGTTTTAGTCATGAGATTACTTCCATCAGATAATCTAAAATGTGGGATTGCAAGTTAAGAGTATGCTTTTCTGGTTTGTTTGTTTTTACTTTTGTTTTGTTTTCTAGTGCATTGGTACAGGTACATATTACTAACTCACTCTCCAGAAAAAGTTTACCAGGTTAGCCTCCAGGGGCTCCATGGAAGTGGGCTAGTTTCTCCACACCCATGCCAACACTATCATGTTTTTTATCTTAAATGGGAAACCTTATAGAAGAAAAAATATCTCCTCTCAGTTGCAATCTTCTGATTATAGAGCAGATGAATGCTTTTCATGCTTCTTGAATTGCCTGTTTTTACTCTGCCTATTAGTCTATTGGGTTTTTCATTATGTTATTATTTATTTTTGAAAATTCTTTATATATAAAATATGTTAACCTTTGGTCCATATTATTTTCATGATTTTTTTGAATTTGTGTCATTTTAATTTGCATTGTTTGGTTTTGCTATATAGAATTCTGAAATTTGTATGAAATAGAATTTCTCAATAAATTTTTTTGTTGTCTGGCTTTAGTTTCAGGCTTAGGAAATTCCCTCCCAGTCCAAGTTGTTGTTGTCCTTTTTAATCACCTATTTCTTTTTTAATTTCCTTAGAATTCTTTCTTACCTGTCCCTTCTCCATTTCTACCCTATCTGGTCACCTTTTTCCTCAAGCTTTTCCCCCTTATTGTTCAGGATACTATTTAATAGAAGTCATGATGTAAAATTCTGCTTGGGCTGCCTGACCCTTTTCAGAATTTCCTCCTGGTTTCTGTAGTAATCCTATTCATAGGTCTGCTTCTCATCTGAGTCTTTTTCCTTTGTTCTGCTGTATTATCACAAGCCAAGCTTACTAGTGCTAGGATGAAGATAGTTGTCTCTAGGCCAACAATCAGAGTACAGTGATTATTCTTGGCCCAGAACTAGAGTTCCCCCACCCCAGGTTCCCACCAGGAGGGTAGGCTACTGTGTGCCCATTCTTGGCAATAAGTGACCTCTATGAAATGCAATTTTGTTGGACTGCCATCCACCGCTCCCTCTCACCAGCCTCATTAAATTATATTCCTGCCCAAAGACCTGATTGGATTTTTTTTAAGCTGAGATCCTCCTTCTAGAAAAGGTGAGAAAAGCTCCAAAACTCTGAAGGGAAATCATTTTCAACATGGGTCCATGCTATAAATATTATGTTTATTAAAAGGTAATAACTTTTTTAAATCTCTATATTAAAAGACACTATGTACAAAATGAGGAGGAAAGCCACAAACAGGGAGAAAATATTTGCAATCTGGTCCTACAAATTAATAAGAAAAAGAAAACCTGATTGTTTTTTAAGACAGGCAAATGAAACAAGTAACTTACAAGAAATAAAATGAATAGCAAATTACTAATAATCATGAAAATGCAAATTAAAACCACAATAAGATATTATACACTTTTCAGGTTGATAAAAATGAAGTCTGACAATACCAAATGTGGGCAAAGGTGAAGAAACACAAAAACCATCTTTCTCTACTCGTAGAGTATAACTTGGAAGATCCTCTTTGAAGAGGTATTTAACTCAATGAAATAAATTTAAACAGGTACTTGTCTTACAACCCAGCAATCCCACTCCTAGGTATATGCCCTAGAGAAATGCTGGCATGTGTCCACAAGGAGGAGTGAGCAAGAAAGTTATCTGCAGCATTATCTGTGATTCTGCAAAATGGAAACACTTATTCATCAAAAGGACAACAAATGAATAATTTGTACATAATAATCTTTATATAGGGATACTATATAACACTGAAAAAGAAACAGAGCTACCTGCATCAACATGGATAACTCTAGAAATAGAATGTTGAGTGGAACAAGCAAGTTGCAAAAGCATATTATGGTATAATTCTAAAAACCCTGTGAGATGATATCAAGTGCACAATAATACCACTTACAATTATAAAAATATATCCAGGTCATCCCCACAGGGAATGATGACTCAATAGGATGGGAGCTACCACTGGAAGAGGGCAGCAGGGGAACGTGCCCTGGAATGCATGCATAGGGACTTAAGTTTATCTGAAATGTTTTATTCCTGTTACACAGATGGTGAGTACTTGGGTATTTATTTTGGGTGAGTCCTGGGAGGGATATTTGTACCTAAAATGTATTTTTTTTAATTCTCTGCCCTTTATATGGACATAGTTGCCCCTATCCTTTATAAATAAGAAAGCAATAGTTCAGAATTTTGCTGAAACCACAAAAAAGCTCAATGAATGTTAAACACGATTGCACATAGCAGACCTCCAACAATTATTTGGTAAGTGAACACATGATTATGATATCCACAATCCACAGGATGTTAACCAAATGTATCATGTGCTGGTCTGGTGCCAAATACTGGGCCCAGCCCTTACTTGGTGGGTTCCACTAACCTTCACAACAAGTCTTCGAAATTAGTATTATCATTATTACTATTACTAGTCCCACTTTACAGAAACCGAGGCTGAGACAGAGGGTAAGCCCAGAGAATGAGTCCAGGAGAAGTGTAAAGGACGAAATTATCTCATGCACACTTAAGTAGCCTGTGCATGCCTAAAAATTCATGCCTACCACCTGGAAATCAGCTATCACCCTGAAACTTTAATTCCTGGAAAGAAAAAGTCGGTTCTTTTGGCTGAGAATTTCTGTGGTAAGATTACTTCCCTCCCCAGGGTGGAGAACTCTGTTATGATGTCTTCCTAACAAATTCCTGTGCCTCTTCCCTGCACTGGCAAACCCCACAAAGACCAATTTGCAGGCAGTTGACTCAGAAGCATCTAGATCCTCTTCCAGCCGTGGGACTCCAGGAGGCACTGTACAATAAAGTAAATTGGGCCACTGTGAGCTGAACAGTAATTGTGTGCTCAGCTAGATTCTCCCAAGGCTCACCCTCCTTTCTGGGACCAAGATGGGTACTTATGGAGACCATATTAACTCTTTCAGGCCCCTGGGGTGCTGTTTGATGCACTGAGGCAATCATTTACTGAATGGTACCATGGAGACCCCAAAGAGTTAAGGCAGCTTCCAAAAGGATCTGATTTTTTCCCTCAACTGGGACTTGCATGCTGGAAGAATATTGCTCAATATTTTTAAAAAATTTTATTTACTCATATTATCTAAGCTGCACCATCATGCCTTGTGACTGGACCTCACATGGAAGAAAGAAAATGATGCTCTGGTCTGCAAAGGAAAATAAGGAATAACAAAAGTTCTTGAGGTGATGGGAGAAAACCCCAGCTTTTGAATGACAGGCACTCTGGTTGGTTTTCAAGTCTAACTGCAATATTACTATTTCACCATCATCGCAGAGTTTGGTGACTGGGTCTTCATGGGCTCAAAACATTTTACGTGAGTTTCCCCTGTTAGTGTGACACAGCTGATGCTCTCCTTTGCAGACATTTTTTTTTTAAGTGATGCATCAAAACTTTGCTAATGCAACAAAAATGTTGTATTCCCAAAATGGGAATAAACTATGTTACAGGCCCTGCTCTGAAATTAGATAAAGCCAGGGATGGACAAGGAGGGGTATTTCCCTTCACCATCACCTGTGGACCCCACGCTTGGATACAATTCTTGGTCATCCTTGTTATTATATTTAACATTATTTCTTTCTCTTCCATTGTCAGTTGGGTCCATGAGTGGTTTACATAGAGTTACTGACCACACTCAATGGCACAAACTCTACCACTGGCAAAGCAGTTAGTCAAAGAGTACCTGTACACACCTGTATCCATGCACATGTGCACACACACAGACACACACTCATTTCCAAGTACAACAGATTTAGTGTTAATTCCAATCCCTCCACGCTAGGAAATGAATGGATTCCTCCTTATGTTACACTCTGTTCTGGTTTTCTATTGCTGTGTAACCAACTACCCCCAAATTGAGTGGCTCAAAATAACAGCAATCATTTATTTTTCTGATAGATCTGCAATTTGGGCAGGGTTCAACCGGGACAACTTTGCTCGCTCAGCTGAGGCAGCACACAGGGGCTAAGATATCCACTTGTAAGATGTCATGCTTGCATGGCTGGCAAGTTGATACTAGTTGTCAGCAGCAAGTGCAAGGTCAGGGGCTGGTTCCTTTACACATAGGCGTTTACTCAGGGCTGCTTGGACTTCCTCAAAATGACACCAAGTTTCTAAGAGTGAGTATCCCAAGTGACAGGAAAAAGAAGCTGCAAGTATCTTGAGGCCTGAACCTGGAAATGTCACCTGTGTCCTACGCATTAGCCCATTAGCCATGCTATCACAAACCCACGCTGATCCAAGGGGAAGGGACACAAAGCCACCTGTTGAAGGGAGAAGTGTGGACCCATGCTCAGCATCTCTAATTTGCCATATCCATAGATCTCCCTTGTTTTTCTCTGTTTTCCTACCCCCCAGGTTGTCTCTCCCAGACAATGAGAAATTTTACACCAATTTCTGAAAATTCTCTATTTCACTGTCTACTTTATCTCAAAGTACATATTCTAAGAACAATCTTCAACAACCACATCACCACATCATAGCTCTATCACTACCCATGTCTATTATTACCAAGTATCTCTATTCAATGTGATGCCCTAGAGTGGCTCCCTTTCCCCCAAAGCAAGCTCAACTGAAGGTCAGCAGGACCTACCCATGCTTGCTAGAGGAATGCCTTCTTCTCTTGATGAGGTCTTATAATAAGAAAGGAAGACCATAGCCCAAGGTTCTTCACAGGAAAAGAACAACAGTCAATTGAATCCTTCCTGAAAACACTGCTCTGCACACTGAGAAGTTACTGGCTCTGTGCTGCTTCCTATGTGATGCAATAAAACCTCCTCCTTGTCTGCAACATCCTGGAGTCACATGTGTAGGAGATGGCATTCGTTTTGTACACAAAGGGGAATGTAGTATTAGCCAGGCAAAGCCATTGTCCAGTGAATCACGGCCAGAGAAAGAAACCAGATGTGCTTTGTTTTACAAACCCCAGCCTACCAGAGGGAGCCCAGCGGTTAACAACACAGCCTAGACAGGCTGCCTAGGTTAAGTTCTGTTTCTTACTAACAGATGGGTGGCCTTGACTGAGTTATGCAACATCTCTACACCTCTCTTGCTTCATTTATGAAGCTGGGATAAAAATAGACCCACTTTACAGAGTTATTATGAGGACTTGTAAACACTAAACAGAATGCCTGGTTTTATTAGTCAGAGCTTGGTGAATATTACTAGCTATCACCAGTGAAAGGACCATTCACCCTGGATAAGAGCTCCTCTCAGACCTACACAGAGGATCAGCAGAGGAGGAGAGCCAGCAGCTGTGGACGGGAGCTTCCCTTCTGACTCACCCCCTCAGGGCAGCTCCCTGTCAGGGTCCCAGGGCCCTGAGGCACCATCAGGCTCTTCCTTATTACCAAGACAGTGACCATCATGTTGAGTGAGTTCATTTCTTAACAACCCTGCAATTGTGGAAGAACAACTGGGATTTACTACAGAGCCAGCCAAGCCCCCTTTGTACTTCCCTAGCAGTTGCTGTAACTTCATGTAAAAATAATGACAGGGATAAGGGGGAGGTCTGTCCTGTGCTATCAGTGTTAGGAGTGAGATAAGAAAAAGTTAAAGAGGCTAAAGAGAAGTTCTCTAGAAGAAGATGCCAAAGAAGCAGCTCTTGGAGAGTCTGCTACACAAGACAATCCCTATTGTCAAATCTCAAGACTCATGAGATTGAGACAGGTTACAGTCCCTGAAGCAAGTGATGGCCACGGAAGCAGGGCACACACTGCTGTCAAGCCTCAGATGACACCTGACTGCATAGGCCACCCCTTCCATGCTGGGTCTGACTGATAAAGACTCTGGGCCGGTCAGGTCAGAGAAGATTGCACAACCCACGGATACAGCTCTTTCTAAGCAAGGGTGACAATTCAAAATCTCCTGTGTACATTGTCTTAGAACAAATAATATTCCACATCATCTTGACTTCCTTGGGCCCAGAGTGAAAAGAGTCCGGAGTAGAGAGTTGAGCCCCACCAGTGGGGCCTGGTTTCCATGACAACCAGTATATGTGTAAGGCTTTGATGTCAGCAGCCACACTCTATAGGAGATTGCACTATTTTTTAAGTCCTGATATTTCCAAGGGAATTCCTTATAGACTACCTTAAGGAACACTGTTTTGTGGTCATAAGATTCAGAACAGAGTAGTTACAAGCTTGACCTCTTAGATAAAGACCTGTATTCCAGAGGATGTTCTCAGTCTTCAACTGCAGGTCAGATTTTATCTGTAACCACTATCTCAAAAAAAACAAGAAAAAAAACTCTCCCACCTTCCCCATGGTCCTTTCCACTATCAAGTCTTAATTAAGAAGCCTGAGGGCTCTGGCTCTGACAGAGTTTTATTAATCAGACCTTAAAGGAAGCAACAGATTTTCAGACATGTACACTGGGTGCCAATCAGTATCCTCTACTCTGGTCTGAACTTCCCATAAGGGTAAAACCTCCATATGTCTCCTTTCATAACCCCAGACCCTAGAAGAGTATAGGAGCTTCATAAATATTTGTACAACAAATGAATGAGTTCTTGCAAATCAAAAATCTAAAGAGAAGCAAAGCAGTTCCAAGGCCTGGCCCTGGATGAAAAGTCCTTTCATCAGAGCCAGGACTGTCCAGCGATAACGATACAAAACCACAGCAAACCCCTATACATTCCCAGTGAATTTCGGTGGGGAGCAGGAGGCTGCTTACATTTCTCCTTCCATAAGACAAAGTTGATCTGAGAACTGGGTGATCTCTCAGAAGCTGGAGTGGTCAGGGCAGAGGCTAGGAATGAGAAACCTAAGCTGTCTCTCCTGACCTAGTTCTCCTTTTCTAGTACATTCCCTGTCTCCCAATTATCCAATCTGTGAAATGTGATGGATGGGGTATACAAGTCCAAAATATGGAGGAAAATAATGAATTGATGGGCAGTAAGTTGCTTTTTATAGGAAGACATGCCTGAGTATTCAATGCATCCTATAAATCTGATCCCAAGAACATTCCAATTCATCTTAGGAAACCCTTAAATATTCCTGGTTAGCAAGTTAGATGAAACATTAAGAAAAGGTTTCTCAGTAAAAACTTGCCAAAACCTCCATCTGATCTAATTCTACTTTCAAATGTGAAAAGGATTTCATCTGTGCTTTGAATGTGTTTTTTAATAAAAACCCAAAATCAATACTCAAGCAAGAACTACATTTTCATAAAAAGATGTGTTCCCCACTGTGCAACTAAACTTCAGTATATTCAACTATAAGGCAGACTTCACTGGCAGAAGCTTTGTTCCAAGACAACAAATCCCTTGTACCCAAACCATCACCAGTTGCCACTAACCAGAGTGCCAGCCCAGGGGACAGGCTGGGTTTTTCTTGTGTGCGTATGACCAGGGAAGTAGGCACTGCTCTGGGACTTCCTACTGATTATACCTCAGTTTCCATTATGGGCACAGTTTGATGTTCTGGCTCTCCCAGGCCCTGGTGCTGGTATTACTGGGTTTGAGGTTACTGGCTATCCCTGCAGCTCAGGTCTCAGGACATACATTCTTTCCTCGCACCCAAAGGACTGAGTTTCTTTTCTGACTCCCAGTCTGGAATTATGGCTGAACAATATAATTCTTTTAATGAAATATACAATATTACTCAAGAGTCAACTCTCCATATTTTCCTAGCCCCTTCTCATCCTGGAGAGGAACCTTGCTTGCTATCTTCATTAAATAACATAACATTCCCCTCTAGACAACCAATTAGAGACCACTTGTGATATTAAAACCACCTACTCCAGCTTCCAGTCATCCCAGAAGTGTCCCCAGAGCACTGTTTCATCTTCTTAGTTTCAAAAACAAGAATACTAACCTTCAAGAACAGTGGGAGAAGATTCAACAGGCTCTTCTGACGCTCAGCCTGGCTCCCATGAACCAATTGCTGGTATTCCAAAAACTTCCTTTCTAGCCTCTCCCAGAGAGCAGTGGGGCTAGAGGACTGCCCTCCATGTGGGAAGTCAGGCTGAGCTATGTTGGGCTGGTCTTCATTTTGGGAACCTGGATACTCAGCTCTGTCTTCAGCCTGTGAAATGTCTTCTGCCTCCATGCCTTGGCAAAGCAGATCTGAATTCAGAACAAAAAACAAAAATGAAGTCCTGTCACAGCACTTCCTGATAAGCTAGTTGTGGGACAAGGTACCCTACTCATTCAGGCCAGTTCCTATTGAAGGTCGTTCCTCTAAGAATCTGAAACTGACTAAAATAAGGAAGACTTTAAAAAAAAGAGATTCCAATTTAGATGTAATTCATATGACAATCTAACATGTGCAGGCATTGTGCTTGGCTCTTTACACAGACTCCCTTGAGAGAGATGGGTGCTTTTATTTTTTTCTATACAAGTAAGGAAACTGACTTACAGGGCCAAAGGCATACAGGCAGCTAGACATCCAGTTGAAATGCAAACCTTGAACACTAAAGCCTGTTTTTTTATTACCTGATGCTGCTCCTCTTTGAAAAGGCTAAGTAAATAGAAGAGACAAGTGTAAAATGTTTTACCCATATTTGTAGAGTCATGTAATCCGAGATCTTCAATTTTAACTTCCCACTACCACAAGAGGCTAAAGGATATAGATTCTTCATATTACTTTTTGGTCCTCACTCAATACTTTTAGAGGATTTTGTCCTTAAAATTACCTTTTAAACCTCCATGCTGACTCAAAAGATCTCCCCTATTAGCTTACACAAGAACAATTGTGCAAACTGGGACCTCAGGTCAGGAGACATAAGGACAAGAATTTATGTGATGAAAATAGACCAATTTGTCTGAAAGGGAATCTTAAGAAGGTACCTTTACGTGTCCTTGATACAAATGAATGACAGCTGTCCTAGTCTTCAGGTAAGTCATGACTGACTCACAGCACAACAAAGGTTTGTTCCCTGTTGGTCAGGAGTGCAGGAAACTCATGTAGGGACCAGAAAGTCTAGGCTTCCTGCAAACAGCCCTCCCTCAGCCACAATGTCACCATGTAGGAGTCCATCTTGGAATTGGGCCAGCAGCTAGCAATCACCAATCATGGCACATAACCAGGCAGAGGGGCACACAGAGGAGGAGCCACTGGCATTTTGCTCTGGGCTACAGTAGCTGAGGAGTACTTCATGCTTTATTTTTAGCCCAGACACACACCCTTTACAGGCAAGAATGGGCGTTACTAAGGATCAGGTGGCCACAATAACCCTCCATCCCTGAAACTATTTCTGTACATAACTCCATGAGCCCCTGGCCCATCTATCACACAGGCTTATTACTCTGATTTCATTTTCAGAAATCATTTTCTAATCACAAAAGCCATGTAAGTTTAATGTCAAAAATTGGGAAAGAGCAAAATATCAGGAAGAATATGAAGTGTTAAAATCAAAAACAGAGACCAGCCTTGAAAATTCCCTGAGTAGACAAAACCAGTTTAGTCATACAAGCAAAGCTTTATTTAGCTCATTTTGCAAGACTAACTGGTCCTGGGTCATTTCTTGATTATACCTCTAAAATTCATAAACAAAACTAACGTGTGTCTCAAGGTTGATATGAGGTAACCACTGACCCATTCCCTGTGATTTAAGAGAAGTCTAATATGATCACCAGTCACTGTGAAGAGAAGCCACCGATTTCTCACCATATAAGTTATCATATGACCAAATACCCCTATGCCTCATTTCATATTTTGGTTTGAGTGCTCTCGGTTTGCAAACTTTTTTTTGGTGTGTGCACAATAAACATTCACTGATTACCACTTCAATAATTCCTTGGTTTTACATTGGCTATTTTTGAGCCTTTGACACAAGCTTGCCCGTGCCCAGAGAAATGACAATTGATATATCAGCTTTTATCTTGGAATATGTTGTTTAACAAAAACACACTCAAATACCATTGAAGCAAACTTTTTATTTATACATTTGCTTCTGTTGGTTGATTGGCTGGGGCTGAGTGGAGATTCTGTTTGTTTCCTTCTCTGGGTTGACCTTCAGCATAGTCTTCCTTGACCTGCATCAGGCTCTTCTCCGACTTAGTCAATTTATTCATTTATTCCTTGGCTCTCCATTCCCTGCTCCCACTCCCGTCTCCCCCACCCAGCACCCCCACCCCACCTGCTTGATAGTGTGGGCCATCATAAAACATGGCATAGGTGTATGGCTTCTGAATGCATGCATTTTAAGTTCCCCAAATGACCATTTGTTTCTTTGCTAAAGCTTCATCTTTCACTCAGCATTATGCCTTCAGACCTAACCATGTATCACTGTGCTTGTCAACTTCCATTTCCCCTAACTGCTGCCCACCCCATGTTACAAAGTGAACATTATGTGCCTACTTGACATATTTGCTAGATTAACAGATGGCTAGATGCCACAACTTCACATACTACACTTGATTGCATGCGGGTTCCCTTGCGTGCTGCCTGTGACTGGATCTGGTATGAACACTGGAGCACAAATGCTGAGTTAAGGCTATATACATGCTCAGTTCAGCTAAGTACCAAATAAGATGACTGCAGAAAGTTGACACCAGACCATACTCCCCCAACAGTCTCCTCTACCACCTCATAGACACTTGGCATCACCCAGCTTCCTAATGTTGCCAATCTGACTGACGTAAAGTGATCTTCATTGTCACTTCTTTTTCATTTTGCTATCATTAATACATAATTACATGAACATTACTATAATCTACTAGAATCCCCCTATTCCCCACCACATACCCCATTACATTCACTGTCCATCAGCGTAGTAAGATGCTATAGAGTCAGTGCTTGTCTTCTCTGTGTTATACTGCCTTCCCCATGTCCCCTGTCCTATATTATACGTGCTAATCATAATGACCCTCTTTCCTCCTTATCCCTCCCTTCCCATCATCCTCCCTAGTCCCTTTCCCTTTGGTAACTGTCAGTCCATTCTTGGGTTCTGTGATTCTGCTACTGTTTTGTTCCTTCAGTTTTTTTCTTTGTTCTTATACTCCACAGATGAGTGAAATCATTTGGTACTTGTCTTTCTCCACTTAGCTTATTTCACTGAGCATAATACCCTCTAGCTCCATCCATGTTGCTGCAAATGGTAGGATTTGTTTTCTTCTTATGGCTGAATAATATTCCATTGTGTATATGTACCACATCTTCTTTATCCATTCATCTACTGATGGACACTTAGGTTGTTTCCATTTCTTGGCTATTGTAAATAGTGATAAACACAGGGATGTGATAAACATAGGGGTGCATATGTCTTTTTCAAACTGGGCTCCTGCGCTCTTAGGGTAACTTCCGAGGAGTGGAATTCCTGGGTCAAATGGTATTTCTATTTTGAGTTTTCTGAGGAACCTCCATACTGCTTTCCACAATGGTTGAACTATTTTACATTCCTACCAGCAGTGTAGGAGGGTTCCTCTTTCTCCACATCCTTGCCAACATTTGTAGTTGTTTGTTCTTCATTGTCATTTTAAGTTGCATTTCTCTTACTAACAACTTACTAACAAGTCTAAGCATGTCTTTATATGCCTTTTAGGTGTTTGGAGTTCCTTTTCTGTGAACTGACTATTCATAACCTTTGCTTATTTTTCCTTGCTTGTCTTTTTCTTGTTGCCTTGAGAGACTATATTCTAGAAACTGGTCCTTATTGACTTAAAAATCACAAATATCTCTTCTCTATCCATTCATCTTATAAATTAGTTCATAACTTTCTTTTTGTCATAAAAATGTATCACAAATATTTTTCCATGTCATTAAAGATCCTCTACATCTTCACTTTGGATGGCTCTGTGGTGGCCATAGATCCATGTTGATTGTTTATTTAACTAGTCCCTTGCACATAAGCATTTAAGTGATTTCCAATTATTCATTACTAGAAATAGTAGTGTAATGATAGTCCTTGTGTCCAAGCATTTCCATACATGATGATTAAATAACATTGTAATACCTTATTAAATTCCTAAATGGAAATAGCTGGGTCTAAAGGTAGATAAAATTTTCAGGCTCTGACACCTATTTCCCAAAACATTTCATCAAGGCACAGTCCTCCTTCCAGAGTGAATCAGAGCTTATATTGCCTTAGCTACCATTTTTTAAGTCCTGCTGACTCGATAGGTAAAAAGCAGTGGCATCTCTGCTGTACCTCACTACAGGTCTTGTTGAAGTGTGTTTCTGTCTTTTTGTTGTGATGTGCTCTGTAATGGGCTGCTGTCTCCTTGAGGGGCCCCTGAGGCACCAAGTGTCCTCATCTCACAGATTCCCTGTCAGACATCTCAGCTGCTCCCACAGCTATAACTACTGTTGAGAGCCACATCTCCACTAAATGTAAGCTCTGTGAAGGAAGGCCGCTGCTTGCCTCTCTCAGAGGTTGGTGCAGAATAAATGCAAGGTGTGTTCCTGAATAGATGAATGAAAGAACCTATATACTGAAGGCACTCAGATCTCTCTCTATAGCCTAGATCCCTCTTCTAAACAAGTTCTTTTTCTCACCCCAAGATTTCTACTTGGATTTCCACCAGACTCTCAAAGTCACTATGCCCTAATCCAACCACCACTCCCACCACAAACAGAGCCAGCCCCAAGTCCAGCATGGACTTCCAAACCCACGGGACGGTGTTGGAGCCATGCTAGCAGGCATCTCTTTCACACTGAAGTCCTCCTGTGGCCACAGCAGCGGAAACCCCTGGCCAGTTCACTCGGTGAAACGTGTCCTAGGGCTGGCTAGCACACCTCTCGCAGGAGCAGCAGGGGAGCAGCCACAATGAGGCTCCGATGAGCACAAACAGGTGGGGGACGTCACACACCACCTCAGATTTCCTCCATTTCCTGAAGTGAAATGCTTGAATCATGTTCCCTTCACAGACAGAGATTTTTTAAAAACAAGAATTTCTCACAAATGAGGATCCGTGAAACCCCATGGAGAAGCTGTCTAACTCAGATGTCAAGCTGTGACCCTCCACAGGGTCCCGTGCTTCTGCCCATCCCCCAGGGCCAACTTTGGTTCTTTTGTAAAGGGACAGAAACAGGAAGCAGCCTCTCAGGGCTGCACAAGCAGCAGCAAGAAGAAACAATTCTAATCCACCTCATATCAAAAGTGCCTTCTTCCGTCTGATAAAAG